CACACATTATCTGGGATAAAATAAAATATTTAAAAGATTCATCCAGAAAATCAGTTTCTTCAGCGCCTTAGTAAGCAATTCATCTAGCCTGGAGATTTATTCAAAATAAATAGAGATTCTGAATCATGTTTATATCAGGGGTGGGATTCAAATTTCTTAACAACCGGTTCTGTGGGCATGGCCTAATTTGTGGGTGTGGCTTGGTGGGCATGTGACTGGCTGGGCATGGCTTGCTGACTGGCATGGCTAGGTGGACATGTGATGGGGTGGGCGTGGCCAGGTGGTCATATGACTGGGGTGGGCATAGCTAGGTGGCCATGTTACTGGCAAACCAAATATAAGTGGTCCTCGCTTAACGGCCAATTGCTTAGCAAGCATTCTAATTTATGACTGACCTCCCCAGAGCTACTTGACCTGTTTTTGGTGTTTTGACAGACAGACACACACACACACACACACACACTTATGACCAGTTACAACATCCCACACAGTCTTGTGACTGAGGTTTTCTATGTTTTTTGCCAGTTTCCAACAATTCCTTCTGGTTTCTGATTAAAAATGCCCATTGGGGAAAATGGACTTGTTTAACAACCAGTGTTTGCTTAATGACCACAAGGTTCACTTAACGATCATGATGTTTGCCTAACCCAGGGGTCTGCAACCTTAAATACTCAAGAGCCATTTTTCTATTTTCTTTTAAAAAGGTATCTCTGTCTCTGCCTTTTTTTATTTCTCCCTCTCTCTTTCTCATCTCTCTCTATCTTTTTCTCCTCTTGTTTTTCATTTCTCTTTCTCATCTATAACTGCTAAGATTGGAAGCTGTATTTTTATAATCCTATTTCTTTGCATTTTTTTTCGCACACATTTGTGTATATGTATCTAATACTTTCTTCCTTTCCACTATGTATTCAAAATGGGCAATGATTTTGTGTGAGTGTGTGTAGCATGTGTATATGTGTGTTATGTATGTGTATGGATATGTATATATATTTCACTTTTAATGTGTGCCAGTGTACTTACAGTAAAAAAATGACAATAAAAGCTATCTTATCCTATCTTCCTTCTTTTCTTCCCAACCCCATTCCTCCCCACACCCCATTTTATGTTGGCTTCCCAGCCAAGTACTTACCAGGTCTGATCCTGTTTAGCTTTCTAAAATCAGCCTACTGAAATAAATACCAAACTAAACTGCCCAATAATTTACCTACCATCACTATCTTGCACCTGATTTTTATGTAAACAGCCAATCTGTAGTATTACTAAATTTTGCTAGGCATCTGCTGCACATTATTCTCTCTTCCTTGATAATCTAGTCAAGAGGTCCCCAAACTTGGCAACTTTAAGACTTGTGGACTTCAACTCCCAGAATTCTACAGCCAGCTATGTCCACAAGTCTTAAAATTGTCAAGTTTGGAGACCCCTGACATAGATCAACCATATGTACATGAAGTACATACAAAGCACTTCCACACCATACAAATGGGTTACAAAGACAAAATGATAAAAAATGGGAGACACTGATTACAGCATAGACAAAAAAAAATCATATATAATTATTGGGTAGGGAATGTGTTAGATCGGGAGGAGTGGGCACAATAACGGAGACGAGGCATCGGTAGTGACTCAGTTCAACTCTTTAATAGTGACTTCAGAACAGGACAACAACAAGGGCAGCAGCAGCTCTTTTATAGAGCTAGCTGCTTTCACAACAACCAATGAAATCGAAGTAACCGCTCTAAAAGCGTCCAATCGGCGACGGCCCGTTGTCAGCCAATCAGGTCAGCCAGAATCGGCCAATCACGATTCGCTTATCCGCGGGCCAATCAGAAGTGCAGGCTTACAAGCCTGCTGTAGCAGTAAGCTAGTATAGGTTTGACAAATGAGTTTATTAGTTCGTAACACCCCTCCCCCCTAGGTTCCGTCTGAGGGGTGGGGTGACGTATTCTCGTAAGTAGGCAGGCCGTTTCACTTGTCTATTTGATTTTCGCTGTTCCACCGGTCTCTGCTCTGGCGCTGGCTCTGGTGGGTTGTTTGTAGGACCGGGTGGTGGAAACGGTTCCACTATTCCGCTTGGGGACTCAGGGCTGTCTTCTCTGCTGTCATCCGGGTTCCCTGGACTTGCTTCTATGGCCGGGCTGCTTTGTGGCGAAACAATCACCCGGCTCGGTCCACCTCCAGAAGGTGAGTATCCCCTGGTTGGCTGTGCAGACTGCTGAGCGTCAGTTAGTGGGTCGTCTTCTATTTCTATTTCGACCCCCTCTATTTCCCTTCCCCCCCCAGTTTGCGATTCAGGGGTTGAGATAGGGTTAGGTGCCAATCGGGAACGAAGTTGGTCTATATGGCGCTTCCATAATTTCCCATCGCTAGTTTGTAGACGGTAAGATCTGGGGCCCGTAATTTGAGTTATAGTAGCGGGGGCCCACAATGGATCACCCGCGAAGTTTTTCGCGAAGACTAAGTCACCTACCTTGAACGCACGACACTTGCTGCTGGAACCGCAAGGTTTTTCTGGCGTGTAGGTTGGGTGCAGGCAATCGAGGTGTGATCGAAGTTTCCGTCCCATCAGAAGTTCGGCCGGGGTTCTGTTTGTGATGCTGTGTGGAGTGATGTGTTGGAGGAGAAGCATCCAGGTTACTTTGTCATCAATGTTTCCATGTTCCATCTTGTGCAGGGTCTTTTTTATGAATTGGACCATGCGCTCAGCCCTGCCATTGGCCGCAGGGTGAGCCGGCGAAGTTAAGGCATGGTGGATGCCCCGGTCGGCTAGGTACTGTTCAAATGCTAGGGCAGTGAATTGGGGACCATTATCCGAGACTAAAACGTCAGGCAATCCGTGCGTGGCGAATAGTCTATTTAATTTTTTAGTGACGGCTTCTGTGGTGGTGCTCTTCATCTTGTGGACTTCGAGCCAGTTGGAATAGGCATCCACAGTTATGAGAAAAGTGTGTCCCTTGGTGGGTCCCGCAAAGTCAATGTGGATGCGGGACCAGGGACCACGAGGTGCGTCCCATTCAGTTGGAGGTGCCTTCGGTGGGGCAGCACGGATTTCCTGGCATTTGTTGCATGTGGCCACCCAGGCTTCTATCTGTTTATCGATACCAGGCCACCATGCGTAACTTCGTGCCAATGCCTTCATTCGCACAATGCCTGGATGACCATCGTGCAACATTTTTGGAACTGTATGTTGTAATTTTCCTGGAATAACAACTCTGTCCCCCCACAAGATGCAGCCCTTCTGGGAAAACAGTTCTGTCTGTCGATGTTTGAAAGGCGCGAATGTGCTGTTGGGTTCGTCATCAGGCCAACCTCGTTCCACCCAGCTGAGGACTCGAGCGAATACAGGATCCTTCTTTGTTTCTGCGGCGATGTCTCGTGCAGTCAGGGGTGGCGCAGGGAGAGTTTCAATTTGGAGTGCAGTTAAAGTCGGAGTTGGATCGTCTATGGCTTCCGGTAGCGGAGAACGATTTAAGGCGTCAGCGTGGGGAATGGCTTTTCCCGGGTGGTGTTGCAGTTGATAATCGTATGCGGCTAGAAACTCTGACCAACGGGTCATTCTTGGCGATAATATGTGGGGAGTTGGTTTGTCTCCCGCTATAATGCCAAGCAATGGCTTGTGATCGGTTATTATGGTAAATGGTCTGCCATATACATATTCATGGAAGCGTTTAATGGCGGATACAATAGCAAGAGCCTCTTTATCGAGTTGGCTGTAGTTTCTTTCAGTTTTCGATAAAGTTCGTGAAAAGAAAGCAATAGGTGCTTCATTTCCATTTGGTAGGACGTGACTCAAAATAGCTCCCACCCCAAACGGCGAAGCGTCACAGGTGACCGTTAAAGGCAAAGTCTCGTTATACTGCATTAGTACAGCATCTGAGGTTAATAGATCTTTTACTTGCTGGAAGGTTCGTTCTTCCCGTTGTCCCCAGACCCAGGAAGCCTTCTTGTCGAGTAATCTATGTAGGGGCTCAGCTACAGTCGCCTTTTGGGGCAAGAAGATGTTATAAAAGTTAATGAGCCCTAGGAAGGCTTGGAGGTCTGTTTTGTTCCTGGGTCTTGGGGCGTTTTTTATTGCAGTTACCTTTTTTTCAGTGGGGTGGATTCCCTTTTTGTCAAGAAGGTACCCCAGGAATTCAACCCTCTCAGTACAAAGTTGACACTTGTCCTTTTTTACTTTCAACCCGGCATTTTTGAATTTCTGAAGGACTGTTCTGAGTCTTTCCTTTAATACGTCTCTAGTGGGGGCGGCTATCAATACGTCATCGAAATAAGGCACGATTCCTTTTATGCCTTGTAGCAGTCTCTCCATCAGGCTTTGGAAAATGCCTGGTGCTACACTTACTCCGAACTGGAGTCTATTACATTTAAACGCACCTCTGTGCGTGACTATAGTCTGGGCCTCAGCAGTTTCTGCATCTACGGGTAGTTGCTGGTATGCTTGGGCGAGGTCCAATTTTGCAAATATTTTTCCGCCACCCAGGGAGTGAAGAAGATGTTGGATCACAGGTACCGGGTAAGTGCTCTGCTGAAGCGCGTGATTTAGGGTGGCCCGGTAATCCCCACAAATTCTTATCGATCCATCAGGTTTTATGGGAGTTACAATCGGGGTTTCCCAACGGGCGTGATCGATCGGTTCTAACACCCCCTGAGCTATTAATTTGTCCAATTGTTCGTCAATCTTTGGCTTGAGTGCGAAGGGCACTCGACGAGGCTTAAGGCAGATGGGCGCGACATCGGGGTTGAGGCTAAACGATATGGGGGATCCCTTGTACTTGCCTAGCTTCTCGGTGAACACGTCCTGGAACTCCTGGACGAGGGCCGCTTCCCAGTCGCTGTTCCCGGTCTGGTGAATGCCAGCTAGTTCAATTCCCAGTGGAGCGAACCACTGTAACCCCAACAAGCTGGGTCGGTCTCGATCGACGATGGTAATAGGCAGAGTAGCGGTGTGGTCCTTGAAGGACACCTGGACGTTTCGGGAACCGGCAACAGGAATCCTGTTCCCCTGGTAGTCCCTTAATATGATTTTTTGGGTGCTGAGATCCTGGCGACGGATGTCAGGGATCAGCTGTTTGAAGGTTTTCCACGAGACCATTGATAGGGACGATCCCGAGTCTACTTCCATTACGCATGGACGATTCTCAATGGCGACCTTCACTCAGATCTTTCTTGCATCCAAGGATGATGCGTGACCAATGGTAATGGTTTGATGCGCCTCTTCTCCCCTAGCTGATGCAGCAGGCGCTCGATTTCTGTAGTGATAGTGGTTCCATTGGTGATTCAGACGGTCCCGATTTACAGGTGGGCTGCCCATTGTTCTTCGGATTGGGCTTGACGCTTGCTTGCTTCTACAAACCTTTGCGATGTGGCCCCTCTTTCCACAGGAATGGCAGAGTGCGTCGAGGAATTTGCAGTCCAATCGCGGGTGATTGGCCCCGCAACTGGCGCATTGACATGCAGGTTTCTGGCTCTTGTGGTCTCGCTTGTCACGCTCTGACCTGAGTCGGTTGACCTCTTCTTCCTCACTATCAGATGAGGATTCGAGGTCTTCATGGTGAGCCGTTGTTCAGTGCCTCTCGGAAAAAGGTGTAGTATCACTGGCGAGTTGGCGGAGCGGGGCGTTGGTGCGGTGCATTTGAGCGGCCAACTTCCTGGTTACTTCTGCTGCAGTAGCGTTGGCGATGACATCTGCAAGGTCGATGTCCCCTTTAGCCATGATCTTGCTCTGCGCAGTGTGGTCATCTAATCCCAGAACTATGCGGTCTCTCATGGCTTCCTCGAGGTTTGCGAAACCACAGAGGCCTCCCAGGTTCTGGAGGTCCACGATGAAGTCCCCAACGCTCTCGTTTTTCCGTTGGTCCCTCTGGTAAAATTTGTGCCTTCGGATAAGCGTTGGTACCGCAGGTGCATAATGGGCTCGGAGGATCGGTGCGAGGGTATCCCAATCCATTGTCTTAACTTCCGCTGGTTTAGCAAGTGCCTTAGCCATTTTAAAAACGGCAGGCCCGCAATGGGTCAGGAAGATCGCTCGTTTCTTGCCAGGCGCAGCGTCTTTCAGATTGTTAGTCTCCAGGAACATCTGGAACCTGTCTGTATACGAGTCCCAGTCTTCGTTAGCCAGGTCAAATGGAGCGGGTGGTATGGCGCCGCTGGCCATCTTGCCGTTGTTGGCGCTCTCTTAGCCACGTGCTCTGTTCGGTACTCAGCGAGTGCTCAGTCAGCTCCATCATCTCCGCATCCCATCCTCATCGCTAGTGTTAGATCGGGAGGAGTGGGCGCAATAACGGAGACGAGGCATCGGTAGTGACTCAATTCAACTCTAATAGTGACTTCAGAACAGGACAACAACAAGGGCAGCAGCAGCTCTTTTATAGAGCTAGCTGCTGTCACAACAACCAATGAAATTGAAGTAACCACTCTAAAAGCATCCAATCGGCGACAGCCCGTTGTCAGCCAATCAGGTCAGCCAGAATCGGCCAATCACGATTCGCTTATCCGCGGGCCAATCAGAAGTGCAGGCTTACAAGCCTGCTGTAGAAGTAAGCTAGTATAGTTTTTGACGAATGAGTTTATTAGTTCGTAACAGAATGATAGCAAAAAAGGAACATAAACCACTCATGGTAAGAACTTGCTTGCTTGTGTCCCAGCACTTTAGGATTGTGCAGTCCATCGGCAGCTGTGCAAAGCCATCCAGTCCCTTAGATTTATCCATTCACTCTAGACACACATACACATATGCCCCTTATCCTTGCATGAAGCTCCGAGGGAAGTTCACTTGCTCATGCCCCAGGTAAACTGACAGCCCTGCAGGGGGTGGGGGATGCAGCAGCAGCGAGGCAGTGATGGTGATTCTGACAGCGTAGGGGCTTCCAGGATCGTTTCCCACCCCCTGCCATCCATGCGGCTGCACACGTGGTGCATCAGGACTTCCAGGCTCTTCTCCCCCCTCCCCACAGCCACTGTCAGCTGTCCTGGAGTTGATTAAGCTGACGTGAGCCTCTGGCCAGGGAGAGTAGAGAACGTTCTCTTCTCTTCTCTCCTTTTGCTGGCAAGCACGGCCCCAGCCCCGTGGTGGCTTTTCAGTGGACAGCAGGGGCAAGAGAACTCTCTCTCCTCTCCCTGGCAAGTATGGCCCCAGCCCCATGGTGGCTTTTCCATGGCCAGCGGGGGCAGGAGAATGCT